AGATGCAGGGCCTCGACGAGGACGAGCGAGAGGCGAGGCGACAGCAACGCCGCGAAGAGAAGCGCAAGGCGCGCATGTCCGGCTCCGCCGCCGACCCTGCCAAAGCTGGCATCGACCGCGAGGCCTGGGACGAGATCCACGAGATCTTTGGCAACGGCGAGGACTACTACTGGGCGCTCGAAGACGACGACGAGGACGCCTTCGACGCCGAGAACAAGAACAAGATGGAGTACAAGGACATCTTTGAGCCCGCACAGATCGCAGAGCGCATGCTCACCGAGGAGGACGAGCGCATCAAGCGCATCGACATCCCAGAGCGTCTCCAGCTCGCATGCCCCGGCGAAGAGGGCCTCAAGCTCCTCGAACGCAAGCTCACAGACCCAGAACTCTTCGAAGCCGCAAAGTGGGCCTCCACCCGCATCTCGGCAAAGTCCGCGGCCGAATTCCTCGACGACGCCGGCCTCTTCTTCCGCTTCCGCTCCGAGTTCCTCAACGCCGTCCAGCTCATGCTCTCCTACATGCTCAACGACCTCCTCGAAGTCCCCTTCCTCTTCCAGCACCGCGTCGACGACCTCGAACATCTCTGGTACGACGAGACCATCGGCGACTTCCAAAGGACCATCCTGCTCAACCGCAGAGAGCTCTACACCCTCAGCGCGCTCGGCCTCAAGTTCAAGACCATCCTCATCCGCAAGGATCAGCTTCGCGCCACCTTCAACAAGATTCACATCGACGTCAAGGCCGAGGCCGGCAACGATGGCGTTACCGCAGAAGGCGAGCCCAAGCAGGAGGACGCTCGAGCTCAAGCCTCGCGCAATCAGCGCGCCGTCTTCGAGGACATGCTCGCCCAGGCTTCCAGCCTTGAAGAGATCTCGGACATCACCGAATGGCTCACGCTTCGCTACGGCCAGAAGATGCGCGATGCCCAAGCCCTCGCCAGCAGCACCGCCGCCGACTCGGCTGCCGACGACATGGACGGTCTCACCATCGATGGCGAGCCCGTATCCAGCGCCACGCCCGGCTTCAAGAAGCCCAGTCTGGTCGGTCAGTACGAGCGCACCAAGAACACCGTCCTCTCCGAACTCGCTAAAAAGTTTGGCATCTCGTCTGACGAGCTCGCCGCCAACATCTCGAGCTCGTCCCGTCAGTACTCGCCGCGCGATCCCGAGCAGTCGCCCTTCAAGTTCGCCGAGCAGTTCACCGGCGCAGCCTGGGGCGCGCAGTCGCCAGAGATCGCGCTTGCAAAGGCAAAGATGATGCTCAGCCAGGAGATCGGCAAGGACCCCATCCTCAAGCGCGAAATCCGCCAGCTCTTCAAGGACGCCGCCGAGATCAACATCGAGCCCACCGAACGCGGCATGACCGTCATCGACGACCAGCATCCGTACGCCAACTTCAAGTTCATCCTCAACAAGCCCGCACGCCTCGTCCCACAGCAACCCGCGCAGTATCTGCAGATGCTCCAAGCCGAGGACGAACTGCTCATCAAGCTCGACATCGGCCTCAAGGACGTCGTCCTCTCGCGCTTCGAGAACCGCCTCTACACCAACTACGCCAGCGAAGGCATCGGCGAGGTGAGCCAGGCATGGAACACCCAGCGCCGCGAGGTCATCCAGGAGGCACTCAAAGCGCACCTCGTCCCCAACGGTCGACTCTGGCTCAAGGAATGGCTCCGCGAGGAATCGCGCGAGACGCTCTTGCGCCACTGCGACTTCCTCATGGCCAAGCGTCTCCAGGAAGGGCCCTTCATGTCCAGGAGCATGGCTGCCAGGAACGCCAATCCCAAGATCGAGGAGGAGGATCGCATCCCTCGCGTGCTCGCCGTGTCGCACGGCGGCGGCGACCCCAGGAAGGACGTCGTCCAGGCCGTCTACCTCGACGAGCGCGGTCGCTTCCGCGAGCACGCCACCTTTGACGACCTGCGCCCGCTCACCGCCCGCCAGCTGCAGGAACGAGAGCTCGAGACCGAGCGCACGCGCGGAAAGGCCGAGTTCGTCGACCACCGCGGCGATTTTGTCAAGCTGCTCAAGCAGCGTCGACCCGACGTGGTCGTCGTCAGCGGCTGGAGCGTGCGCACCGCCGAGCTCAAGAAGAACGTTCGCGAGCTCGTCGACATGGCGCATCAGGAGATCTGCGACGACGACCGACTCGACTCCGAGTCGGAACGCAACCAGGCTCTCATCGACGTCGTCACCTGCCACGACGACGTCGCCCGCATCTACCAGCACAGCAGCCGCGCCGCCGAAGAGTTCCCAGAGCTCAACGAGCTCGGCCGCTACTGTCTCGCCTTGGCCCGCTACGCCCAGTCGCCCGTCAACCAGTTCGCGGCGCTTGGCAACGACCTGACCGCCGTCATCCTCGACCCGAACCAGCGCCTCTTGCCGCAGGACCGTCTGCGCCTCCACTTTGAGCGCTGCATCGGTGCCGAGGTCAACGACAGTGGCGTCGATATCAACCAGGCCGTGACGAGCACCTACCTGCAGACCATGCTGCCCTACGTCGCGGGTCTCGGTCCGAGGAAGGCGCATGCGCTGGTCAACGCCATCAACACCAAGCTCGAGGGCACGCTGATCAACCGCACGCTGCTGCTGTCGCGCAGCATCCTGCCCTTCCAGGTGTTCCAGAACTGCGCGTCCTTCCTGCGCATCGAGCAGGACATGCTGCTCGAGGCCGACGAGGACGACGTGCCGGACGTGCTCGACAGCACGCGCATCCATCCCGAGGACTACGACTTTCCGCGCAAGATGGCTGCCGACGCGCTCAACAAGCACGAGGAGGATCTCGAGGGCGAGCATCCGAGTCTGCCGTGCAAGGAGCTCATGGAGGATGCGGATCCGGCGGACAAGCTGTCGACGCTCGACCTGGACAACTATGCGCAGATGCTGTACGAGCGCAAGGGCGAGAAGAAGCGCGCGACGCTGCTGCTGTGCAAGCAGGAGCTGATCAAGCCGTACGACGACCTGCGCAAGCAGCAGCGCGAGCCGTCGGCGGCCGAGATGCTCACCATGTTCACCGGCGAGACGCCCAAGACGCTCAGCGAGGGCTTTGTGGTGTCGGTGGAGGTGATGCGCGTGCAGGAGGGCAACCGGATGGCCGAGGGCCACGTGCGCTGCCGCCTCGACTCGGGCATCGAGGGCATCATCGAGGCCGAGTACACCACGGACAACTACACGCCCGGCTCGGTGCGGCTGCGCGACCTGGTGCGGCCGCAGCAGACGCTCGACGCGCTCGTGCGCCAGATCGACACGGACAGCTGCACGGTCAAGCTGAGCATCCGGCCGTGGGACCTGCAGGAGCAGCACCGTGCGCGCGACCAGGGCAAGACGCCCACCGACAAGTTTTACGACAAGACCAAGGCGGACAAGTGGAACGAGCAGGCGGCGGCCAAGGCCAAGGCGCGCGTCCAGGCGCGTCGGCAGAACCGCGTGATCGACCATCCGAACTACCACAACTTCAACTACAAGGACGCCGTGCAGTTCCTCGGCGGGCAGCCGAGGGGCTCGGTGGTGGTGCGGCCGAGCAGCAAGGGCGACGACCATCTGGCGGTCACGTGGAAGGTGGACGAGGGCGTGTACCAGAACATCGACGTGCTCGAGCTGGACAAGGAGAGCGAGTACTCGCTCGGGCGCGTGCTGCGCATCGAAGGCATGGGCTCGTACTCGGACCTGGACGAGCTGATCGTCAACCACGTCAAGCCGATGGTGCACATGGTGGAGATGATGATGAACCACGAAAAGTACAAGGGCGCCGACGAGGAGGATCTGCACCGCTTCCTGACCAACTGGTCGCTCGCCAATCCGCAGCGCTCCGTGTATGCGTTTGGCCTCAACCGCGACCGTCCGGGCTACTTTAACCTGTCCTTCAAAGCGAGCAGGGATGCGGCGATCCAGACGTGGCCGGTCAAGGTGCTGCCGAACGCGTTCAAGCTGGGGCCGGCCGACCAGCTGGCGGATGTGGCGGCGCTGTGCAATGCGTTCAAGACGCAGTACACGACGCAGGCGAGTATGGCGCGCGGCGCCAAGACCCCGTATGGTGGCGGACGTACGCCAGCACCGGGCATGGGCGGTGCGACGCCCATGGGAGGACGCACGCCGTACGGTGGACGCAACGGGATGGCGGGCGGAGCCACCCCGCGCGGGGCAGGTATGGGCATGGGTATGGGCATGGGCGCATCGGCGGCGGCGGGCGGATACGGCACGCCGCTGGTCAACATGGCGTCGGCCACGCCCAACCCTTACGGCGCTCCCGGATACGGCGGTGGACGAGGCCCACCTGCGGGTGGCTATGGTGGACCACCTCCGCCAGGTAGACCGCCTGCGATGCCCGGTGCGCCGCCCATGATGCCACCGGGCATGATGAGCGGCGGTCCGCCCGGGTATCCGCCGGCGTATGGTGGTGCACCGGGTGGCGGTGGTGAGCCGGGCCCGCCGCCGTCGCGACCGCAGGTGCCTAGGGGCATGCATCCCGACCGCTACGCACAGGCCATGTACGGCGGACCCAGCAGTGGCGCCGATCCGAGCTACGGTGGCGGCAGCGGCGGCTATGGCGGTCAGCAACCGTACTAGTGCTGCGCAGACTTGTATTGATATCCCCCACCGAAAGCATGAACGGCTTTGAAGCATGGCAGTCGAGACACGGCGTTGCTGCAGAGGGGGGGCGGTATGGAGCGTATTGTGTGGTCAAGAGGGAGCCTGTGTGGGCTTGCGGGTTGTGTAAGCGAAGATGTGTGGGGCTGTAGAATCGGTCGACGGAGCTGCACGGATGGGATGGTGGGGCACAATCAGTTCACGAAGGATCGGTCGTTTTGCTTTGACTTGACTTGCAACCACGACAAGTGGGTCTCAAGTTGGTGTCCTTGTGGGATGATCGCCGCTTTGCACAGCTCTGAAGGTGGCGGCTTGAAGCAGTGATGCATTGGATGGCGTATATAAGGACGACTTGGGATGGCTCTTGGTGAGACTCTCTCCCGACCACGTCTGCTTGGCTTGCACTTGTCAGCCATGTTCGTTAAGCAGCTCTTGTTGGTCTTGGCCTGTATGCGGGACTGGCTTGCGCTATCGACGAGCACCAGACGCCGCTGACAGTCAACGATGCTGAGTAGGAGAAACGCTGTGGCTCAGATGGTCCGCCTGACCATGTCTGCTTCACCTTTCTCGCTGGCGACGCCTCGAACGTCGATGTGACGATCACCAAGGGTGCATTTGCCTACCTTGCCACTGATGTGCTGGTCAAGGACGACAACATTCACGAAAAGCAATGCCTCTCTCTCTCTCAGAGATACAGCCTTGGTGTTCATCGTGCTGATCTTGGTGTGCTCTGATCTTGGTGTGACTTGTGCGAGGTAGACTTTACCATTGAGGATACCAGCAAGTGCTTCTCGATGTACGTGAGGGGACTGCAGGAGCGTTTGGCGGTGTGGGTGTGCGGATGTGCCTCCACATTTTTTCGAGTGCACGTGCGCGCGGCGTCAAGACCCTTAGCCATCGGCATCACAACTTGACATCGCACCATCATCACCATCCAAGTCTGGGTACGCCGAGGCAATGAGTTACCTCGACGACGGATTGGCGCCTACGTCGTTGATGTCGCACCTTGCGCATCGACAACAAACACACACGCAGCGCTCGTACGACGATGCCGAGCAATGGCACACCGACTCCAGCACCGCCAGTGAAAGCGAATTTGGATCCGACGACCAACTCGCCCTCCAGCGCGAATGGGAACAACAGGTAGACCAGTTCAAACTGCTCTTCCAAATCGTAGTCTGTCCCTTTGTCGGCAAGTTCTTCGGTCGAAAGTTCGGATACTTTTGTAGGTCCCCCCCTTTCCCCCCCACCGCACAAAGGAATGCAACACTGACAGCTTGCATGCGGGCCTAGTGTTTAATCGGTACAAGCTTTTCGGATCGCCACTAAGAGCCGCCTTCTGGGGATACACATGACACTCTACTCAAAAAAAACGAATGTAATTGTTCTAGCTATGGGAGGTTCTAGCGACGAAGGAAAGAGGGCACGTTGGTGGCTCTTCTTGCAATAAGCACCAGACTGAGCAGGACGGCTACCACGCAGCCTGCGGAGGTGACGACGAAAACTTGACGGTAACACTCCTCGCCATCCATGCACAGGTGCCGTGTTGCTGGATGGTCGTTCTTGCCGCGCACCGACGCCAGGACATCCGATACAGCGCTGAGCACGCTCGCGTCGGTGGGCACATGGCTGTCGTAGATGTGTCCAAAGAGCAGGTTGAACACATTGCCCGCCACGACGGGCGAAAGACTTACAAAGCCATAGTTCTGGCTGAAGTGTTTCATGCCAAACCACTCAAAGACGAGCGTGGGGCATACGCCAAACAGCGTACCGTACGCCAGGCCCGTGAGCGCCGACACAGCAAACAGACGATCCACCGTATCCACCGCGCCCGGAAACGCGGCCAGCAACTGGCTCCCCAGCGCCAGCGTCGTAACCACCACGAGCAGCCACACCCTATTGGCAGCCGAAGCGGTTCGGTTCACGAGCCAGTCCGAGAGCAGACCGATGAAGATGCGCCCGCCGAAATTGCACAGCGAGATGAGCGAGACCTGGCGTGCCTGCATCTGCTGCACCGAACTCTTGGCGCTCTTCTTGGCCGTCTCGAACGCTTCGGTCGAAACGGGCGCGCGGCGACGAAGATCAGCATTGTCGGCGGCGACCAGCACGGCGTCGGTGCGGTGGTTGTAGTCCCACAGCGTCTTGGTGATGGTGCCGACGTTGTTGATGAGCAGCAACCCAGCGCCCGAGACGAGCGTCATGACCAGGAAGATCAGGTAGAAGTCGGGTTGGCGGAACAGCTTGCGGCCCGAAATGTCGACGTGGGCAGGATCGACCTCGCGGCCAGTGCGCTTGGACTCGTCGCGCCCGGACAGCAGGCCTTGTGCCTCGGGATCCACCTCGTCTGCGGGGGTCATGGCATCGCGCGAGCCACCGACGTGCGGAGCTCGAGGCTCGTCTTCATCGTCCGTCGCTTCGGCACTCAGTGCTTCGGGCCGGTGCCAGACGGTAGCGCGTGCACCGATGTCCGACGACGTCCTCCTGCGCAGGTAGCCCGATCCCCCCTCGCTCCTCTCGGCGTGCGCAGGGGCAGGCGCCTCGAGTGGCGGGATGATCGTGATGAGTCCGAGCCCGATGAGCATGCTCGCCATACTGCCAAATGCGAGCAGCAGCAGGTAGTCGCCTGTGTTGCCTGGAAACAACAAGTGGCTCAGCGTCGAGTAGAAGAACGCACTAAGCCCGAATCCTGACAGCACAAGCGCCGTCGCCGTGCCCCTCCTGCTTCCACCCCACGACTTGGCCTGTGCATTCATCGCTGCGGTGAACCCACCGCTGTTACCCAGGCCGGTCAGCAGGTTGAGCATGAACAGCAGCGGCGTCGAGTGCATCCTCCACTCGCCCGTGTAGCTGGCGGACAGCCCCGCATAGCCGAGCGGAACAAGCACGGCTGCAACGACGAGCGCAGTCTGCGGGCCGCGCTTGTCGATAAACCGCCCCCAGAGCGGAGACGAGAGGTAGACGCCCGCATTGCCCGCAATGCCAATCAGATTGATCTGCGTCGAGCTGAGGTGCAGCGACTCCTGCAGCTGCGGCGCGAACGACGAGAATGCATAGTTCGATCCGGCCGACAGCGAGACGCACACGGAGCCGGCGAGCGAGATGAGCTTGCGCCGCAGCAGACGCTGGTGCTGCTCGGTGTCGAGGTGGCGCGCGGCGGTGTCGGTGCGTGCCATCGTTGCAGTGCGCAGGCGAGATCCCGGGGACGCGCGGCTATATGCGCTCGAANGGTGTCGAGGTGGCGCGCGGCGGTGTCGGTGCGTGCCATCGTTGCAGTGCGCAGGCGAGATCCCGGGGACGCGCGGCTATATGCGCTCGAAAGAGCGACGTCGATGTTGTAAAGAAGTGTGGGAATTGCTGAGCCCGTAAGTGGTGTCGAGTGGTGGTGGCTTTTTGTAAGAAGCTGAGGAATGCCTGGCGAGATTAGCGCGGGAACGTGGAGGAGAGGGTGAAGTGGGTTCGGCGCGGAAGTCGCAGCTCAAGTTGGCGCCCCGACAGCAGCAATTTTGCAGAGCGGCGCTGAAGGAGCACGTCAGCCCACAGCGTTGCTGCACAGCGCTCTCGCACCCCTGCGGCCCCACCGCCAAGTCCGACAGCTCTGCCTGGCTCAGGCAAATGCCATTGTGCTGTCATTGTCCTGTGTATGGCTGGGGCTAGGGCTGTACAATTGTGATCTGGATCTGCTGGTACGCTTCATCCTGCTGCACCCTGATGCTCCTCGCACTCGCAAGCGCCAGCGTATGGTAGAACGCCTGTGCAGCCACCGCAGGCGTGCTGGCCGCCACCGGCGCCAGATCGCTGAAGAACAGAAAGGTGGGATCCTCTAGCTCGCGCCTGATGCTTCGTGCGTACTCGAGAAAGTTGCGTGTCTCCTCCTCCATGTCCCCCTCGAACACCTGCGCCGGGGGTGTGGGTGAAGCCTCCCTCGCCTCGGCTGTTGGTAATCCCAGACGCAGGACTTCTGGCGTGCCCCCTACGGGATCGTACTCTTCCAGCTGCGCCAGTGTCGATGGTGAAGCAGCCACGTATGCTGGGGATTCGACAGGGAAGCGACGGAGTCCGGTGGGTGTTTCGATCGACACCTCGCGCGGACGCACGGGTGTGAGTTCACGCTCGAATGTGGGGCGGTCGTACGAGACCGAGGGCAGCATGGACGACCGACGTCGATGCTCCATGAAGACGTTCCAGGGTAGCGATTCGCGTGCGCCGCGCAGCTCAGCCGGAAGTGCAGGTGAGGCAGCACGGGCTACACCCACATCACCCAGCTCTTCCTCGTCCATCGGCTCGAATGGCGTCGGTGGTGGCGGCGAAGGTGGCGCGTCCACAAGTGGGGTCATGCCGGCGTCGGTGCGCATGGCTCGAAAGCGCGCGCGCCGAGACAGCATCGTTGCGCCCACCGTCGTCTGCCACAACTCTGCCAGCTGCGGGCTCAGAGCCAGATCGGCAGGAGGCTCAAACACCACCCCACGAATAGTCGCGTCGGCTTGTCGAGCTGCTTGGCGACGTTGCTGGAGGCCACGTTCGGTTGTCATGCGTGCGACGTAGTCGGCTCGACTCGCGCGCAGCTGCGTCTCGCTCAGCATCGTCTCGGCGTCTTCGAGCGGCGTAAGGCGTGCACGCTGTCGACGCTGCGCTTGCTCTTCCTCCCGTGCTCGGCGCGCTGGTGTGATTGCAGCCACGCCTTCCGGTGCAGGCCCCACATCGAGCCGCGCAGCTTCCTCCAGCAGCCGATCCTCGAGTTCAGGCCATTCCACCACGGGAGCCGTGGCCATGCTCTCGTCCTCGCCTTCTCGCGGCGCGCCTTCGAACTCGCCCGGCACGAAAGGTTCCATCCCCATCGGCCCTACGTCCAGACCCAGGTCGAGTGCTTCCGCTTCCAACCCCTCGCCTTCGCCCGACATCGGCATGGTTTCGTCGCCAAACGCTCGCGGCATACCCAATTCCTCCTCCTCGAACGCACGCCCGGGCAGCGTGATCCTCTCTTCTGCCTCGACAAACCGCGCCGGTGTCGGCGTACGGAATCCATCCTCCAGCTCCACCTCCTCCCTTTGCGGTGGTTCCACACTCCATCTTCCCAGCAGCTCGATGGTGGCCTGATTGAAATCGAGCGCGAAAAACGTCAAGTCCAGAGGCAGGGTGATGGCACTCACGGCTTTGGTGGTGGTGCGCATGTCGATATCGTACGTGGCTGACGTGGGCGTCACCGTCGTCAGGACACGCCTTCGAATGTGGGCCTGAACGTGAAAGACGTCTTGAAACAGCAGCTCGGTTTGGTGGCCGTACAGCCGCACCACGCCATACAGAAGCTGACTCGACAGCCGCAGGGCCAGCGGCTCGGTAGGCGTGCAGAGGTACGCGCACGCCTTGGCAATATCAACCCCGAGGATCTCGCGCCGACTCAGACGTCGGATCACACTCCGATCGCCCAGTGTAGCCGCAAGCCACACGATGCCCAAGCCGCTCTTGCGACGAGACAGAATGTCGGTACTGTAAAACATGCCGGCGTCGATGAGTGGCAAGAGGATGGCATTGCAGATGGCCAACCGGGTTATATAGGATACATGCGCAGAAAGAGACGGAAACAATGCGAATGCAAATGCGAACACTGCACCCACCCCTTGGCAATCGAAGGGCTGGGGGTTGATCAGGGTATCGTCGCTGCCGTCTGCCCATCCTCCCAGGCGAGGGTGGCCAGATGCCGGCGATGAGTATACGATGCAGTCAAAAAACGGATCTTGTAAAGCCACAGCTCTGAACTCTAACGTTGCTGGCTGGCTGGTGGCGTGCGGACGGACGGAGGGGCTAGTAGGGACGAAGTTGAGCGGGCGGGAAGTGGGAGGTCCAGATGGTCGGCGTGTTGGCTCCGCTCGTGCCTAGCGGTTCGAGGTGCGGGAGCGCATGCACTCCCATGGCCTTTTGCAGCTGCCTGCGCTGCCACAGCTTGTCGATGCTCGCCTCGGCATCCTCGGACACGGCGCCCCTAGCATGGTGCATGGCCGCCCAGTCCTCATACGCCTCGTCGATTTCGGTGCCCTGGCACGCCACCGGTGCCGACTGCACCTGCTCGGCCGGCTGCGGCTCGACCGTGTCGGCGAGGAAGGGCGCAAACCGCGGCGGCTGGTCATGCAGCACCGACACCGCCTGGCTCACCTCGCCGCTTGAGGTGGTGGTGCTGCGCGGGCGCACCTGGCCGACGGGAGCGGCTGGCGGGGGCGAGGGTTGCGCTTCTGCAAGCTGGCTGAAGCGCGACGACCAGAAATGCACCTCGTCTTCCTTTTCGCCGTTGGCGGTGCGGATGTAGGTGCGGATGAGACAGCCCAGGATGGCGAGGCTCACAAACAGCACCGCGCGTGCGGTCTCGGAGCCCGTCATGATCGCTCAGGTGCTCGGTGAGAGTTGAGGGGCAATGATGCTTGCGAGAGAGGAGGAGGCAGATGCTAGAGTTTAAATCCAAGTAGGCTCTGCCGAGCCAGACGATGCGATGAGCGTGGGTATATGCGCGCCTCGAGCCAAGCCGACTGCCGTGGGGAGAGCGTGACGTGAGAGTGTCCGAGAATGGGAAGGAGCCGGTGATGCCCAAGGTGCGGTGCGTGGGAGGAAAGCTTGCTGCGACCTACGAATTGGAAGAGGAGTAGGAAGCAGCTTCAGGGGCTGCGGAACGTCGGGTCGGCCTATATGCGAGTCGAGTGGTGGGGGTCAAGAGTCAAGTCCCCACCGCTGCTTGATGAAGTGCTGACGCTGATGCTCGGGATGAAGCCGCACAGCGAGCGGCAGAAAAAAGAGTGGTCTAGAACAGAAGTGCACTCTCCCTTCGCTCAGTCCGTTGAAAGCGAGGTTCGCCTCAGCCCTGCAGCTGCCCTTTCCACCGGTTGCGAGGTCAGGTCGGGTCGGGTACGAAAAAACAATAAACAAAAAAAATACAGGTGCAGAGCGAGGGTGCTTGCTGAGTGTGGAGTTGCTGAGACAGCTCAGATGCAGGCAGCTCAGGGTCCCGTGGGGCAGCTCGAGCG